TGAGGACAAGGTTCCTCACGCTGAGAAGAAGGTTACACACGCTGAGGACAAGGTTCCTCACGCTGAGGACAAGGTTCCTCACGCTGAGGTGAAGGTCCTCACACGGAGAACAAGGTTCCTCACGATGAGGACAAGGTTGCTCACGCTTGTGGGAAGGTTCCTCACGCTTCCGACAAGGTTCGTCACGGTGAGGACAAGGTTCCTCACGCTGAGGACAAGGTCCCTCACGCTGAGGACAATGTTCCTCACGCTGAGGACAAGGTTCCTCATGCTGAGGCAAGGTTACTCACGCTGAGGACAATGTTCCTCACGCTGAGGACAAGGTTCCTCACGCTGAGGACAAGGTTTCTTACGCGGAGGACAAGGTTGCTCACGCTGACGACTAGGTTCCTCACTCTGAGGACAAGGTTCCTCACGCTGAGAAGAAGGTTACACACGCTGAGGACAAGGTTCCTCACGCTGAGGACAAGGTTCCTCACGCTGAGGTGAAGGTCCTCACACGGAGAACAAGGTTCCTCACGATGAGGACAAGGTTGCTCACGCTTGTGGGAAGGTTCCTCACGCTTCCGACAAGGTTCGTCACGGTGAGGACAAGGTTCCTCACGCTGAGGGCAAGGTCCCTCACGGTGAGGACAAGGTTCCTCACGCTGAGGACAAGGTTCCTCACGCTGAGGACAAGGTATCTCTCGCTGAGGACAAGGTTCCTCACGCTGAAGTCAAAGTTCCTCACGCTGAGGACAAGGTTCCTCACGCTGAGGGCAATGTTACTCACGCTGAGGACAAGGTTCCTCACGCTGAGGACAAGGTTCTGAGGACAAGGTTTCTCACGCTGAGGACAAGGTTGCTCACGCTGAGGACAAGGTTCGTCACGCTGAGGACAAGGTTACTCACGCTGAAGACAAGGATCCTCACGCTGAGGACACGGTTGCTCACGCTGAGGACAAGGTTCCTCACGCTGAGGACAAGGTTACTTACGCTGAGCACAAGGTTCCTCACGCTGACGACAAGGTTCCCCACGCTGAGGACAAGGTTCTGAGGACAAGGTTCCTCACGCTGAGGACAAGGTATCTCTCGCTGAGGACAAGATTCTTCACGATGAGGACAAGGTTCCTCACGCTGAGGACAAGGTTCCTCACGCTGAGGACAAGGTATCTCTCGCTGAGGACAAGGTTCCTCACGCTGAGGACAAAGTTCCTCACGCTGAGGACAAGGTTCCTCAAGCTGAGGACAAGGTATTTCTCGCTGAGGACAAGGTTCCTCACGCTGAGGACAAGGTTCCTCACGCTGAAGACAAGGTTCTGAGGACAAGGTTCCTCACGCTGAGGACAAAGGTTGCTCACGCTGAGGACAAGGTTGCTCACGCTGAGGACATGGTTCGTAACGCTGAGGACAAGGTTACTCACGCTGAAGACAAGGTTCCTCACGCTGAGGACAAGGTTGCTCACGCTGAGGACAAGGTTCCTCACGCTGAGGACAAGGTTACTTACGCTGAGGACAAGGTTCGTCACGCTGAGGACAAGGTTCCCCACGCTGGGGACAAGGTTCTGAGGACAAGGTTCCTCACGCTGAGGACAAGGTATCTCTCGCTGATTAGAAGATTCTTCACGATGAGGACAAGGTTTCTCACGCTGAGGACAAGGTTCCTCACGCTGAGGACAAGGTTCCTCTCGCTGAGGACAAGCTATCTCTCGCTGAGGACAAGGTTCCTCACGCTGAGGACAAGGTTCCTCACTCTGAGGACAAGGTTCCTCACGCTGAGGACAAGGTATCTCTCGCTGAGGACAAGGAACCTCACGCTGAGGACAAGGTTCCTCACGCTGATGACAAGGTTCTGAGGACAAAGTTCTTCACGCTGAGGACAAGGTTCCTCACGCTGAGGACAAGGTTCCTCACTCTGAGGACAAGGTTCTTCACGCTGAGGACAAGGCTCCTCACGCTGAGGACAAGGTTGCTCAAGCTGAGGACAAGGTTCTGAGGACAAGGTTCCTGACGCTGAGGACAAGGTTTCTCACGCTGAGGACAAGGTTCCTCACGCTGAAGACAAGGTTCCTCACGCTGAGGACAAGGTTCCTCACGCTGAGGACAAGGTTCCTCACGCTGAGGACAAGGTTCCTCACGCTGAGGACAATTCGCGGAGGTCGTCGTACATGCTCGTCACTCAAACTTGTAAGTTATGTTGTAGTTTTTAACTGACAGGTAGAGAAGTGAGAGAATAATACTCTTAATATACCTTTTATTATGATATTATTTTATTAGAAACTAGTTCTCCGTGAAATTGCTTTTTTAAGACACGTGAATCGTGAAACGGCTTTTTGTTTTCGTTATGAAACGTGATCCATACCCCCCCCCCCC